AATAGACTGATTCAATTCAAAAGAAAATAAAGCCAGATGCGTGAGCAAAAAAAAAGAAGTTTAAATATAAAAGCTACCTTGAGCTTGATGAGTTTTCCTTTTTCAACTGCATAATTAAGAGGACCTTTTTGAAATCGCATTTTCTCTTGTACCATCTGTAATTAATTCTATGCACGTATTTTAAGCCAAAATAAAAACAATGAGAATTTAAGAAATCCACAAATTCTTTTTTTTTTTCCTTATTAAGTCGCTGCAACCATAAAAAATTATAACAAGAAACGTTTTTTATTAAATTCCTTAGTTCTGAATTCTAAGTGAAAATCTAACCAATTCAATATCTTTATCGCTGTAGCTATAATTAACAGCTTTTCGAATATCGGCTTCCTTTTTTTCTACTTGATCTATAGTAAGAATTGCAAGATTCTGCAAATAATTAACAAAGAGAATCAGTAAAATTTTCCAATACAAGCATAAAAAATTATTTTCAGGAAAGAAGTACCTTTCATTAGTAAGCACCAAATATGCTAGACACTAACCATGGCTGATTAACCAAATAATCTCGATAATTCAGTACAAACTCACATTTGATTTCATGGCTTCATGCCATTTATTAAACTCTTGAACAGTGAAATCTGAATTCGAAACAAATTCTAAACGATAAACACGTTCTTCTTTACCATGTTTTAACTTGAATCCTTTATTTGTTCGCGTACTTTCCAATTGATAAACCTTTGCAGTTTCAACAACGTCTAGAATTTGAGCCGCCTGAAAAAATTTTATATTAGAAATATTACTAAAAGAAAATAATTTCTCTGATGAACAACTTGATGTCTACTTAATTGTCAATCAAAACATCAACTAAGCATTATTGTATAATATGCATGGCTTAATGTGTAAACTATCTGTAAGATGTGTACAAAAATTGACAGTTCATCAGTTCTCTTTGCACTAAATTATTTTTGAAAGAAAAATAACTGAGGATTACGCGATAAACACTTCGTCCTTCCTTATTTCTACCAATACCAATACGTACAAAGCAGCCAATCACTGTTTTGTTGAAAAATGGGGCATGAACAAATTTGGAAATCTTAAAACGAGATAAACGTATTCTCGATAAGTCTGCAAGACAATCAACCTGCAAAAAACAGAAGCTGAATCATAATAACAAGGCAGTAAGCAGTCATGAAGTTCCTAACACTGAATACAGTAAAATAATATATCACTTTTTTACAAAAATAATGCTAGTACCAAATAACATTCACAAAAATTGCAGGGTAATGTTTATTCATTTATTAAGTTGCTTTACTGCATTGCAGATACCACAGCTGAATAAAATTATTTAGTCATCTTTTAATAAGAAATACATCTTCAAAAAAACCACTGTTCTATACAACGTTGATCGGAAAATACTTCATGATATAAAAACCTACCAAATGCAATGCTGACTCACCTCGCGTTTTTTTTCTGGTGAGCAACTGCGGACTCTACTTTTACTTGAACTTCTGCTTGAAGACCGACTAGTTGAGCGACTGGATGAACTGGAACTTTTCTCATAATCATCTTCACTACCATCATTTCCAAATACTTCATCAATATCTAATTCTGACTCACGAGAGAGAACTTTCTTCTTCTGTGCAGCTGAATTTGACTAGAAGTTAAAACAACAATCAACAACTTCCCATATACTGAATGAGTTTCAAATATAATGTTTAAAAACTTGTCAAGCTGTGCAATATAATTAATAAACAGAAAAAAATTTGGAAACACCAGCTCATACCTTCTTGCTTCTCTTTTCTTTTGCTAACTAGATCAGCCATTGCACTTTTCTGTTTCTGTTTTTTTTTAATTTCTGATGGTCGCTGAAATTCATCAAAATCGTCGCCTTCTTTATCGCCACTTTGTAAACGCAGGTGTGCTTGCACTGAAAATTAGAATTTATAAAGTCAAACTATGTTTTCCTCCAACTCATAAGCCTATAAATTTCTAAAAATCACACAGAAAATTCAACAAAAAACTTGAAACTCGCAAATAATTTTCATGAAGCAATGTAATCATAATTAATAAGATATCTCATATTATTCTCATGATTTCAAAAAAATTGCAAATGATCAGAATTCTTCTACAACTTATCTATTTAGCTGCAGCTGAACTTTTTAATCATTCGTATTATACAAATAATCTAACTTTAACGCTACGTTTAGTTTTTAGTAGTCATTTTACATGAAAAACTTGAAATTGATATTTCTAAAGACAATGATTGGCTACGACTGAATTAATCCCATACTAAGTTTTTTGCCAAACATTAATTATCACAACATGACAATGCGGTTTTACTTTGAAGAGAGCTCCAATTATCATCTCTAACAATCTTTGAGAAAGAAAAGGAGTCACACCTAACAAGGAAACTAACTTTTATTTTCTTCGGCCCCACTCTTTTCATCGACGTCACTTTCAAAGAACTTTTTTTTAGCTGTAATAATTATAGAACCAATTCCATGAACAAAACGAAAAAAGAACGTATGTGAAGATATAATCCTTATTATTCGATTATGTCAGGTCAATTCATACCTTCCTTATCTCGCTTTTTCTCTTTACTTCGTTTCTTCTTCTCTTTTTTGAATAAACTTGCCCCATCTTCCTTCTGAGCTTTGATTTTCTTTTGAATAGCATGCCTTAATAGACAACCAGAAATGAAACAAAGACTCTTTAATAATCAACCTAAAAAAGTGACTTCTTTTAATAATCATTAATAATATCAATAAAATGAATGACTTTAATATATACAGGTCTACATATCAACATTAAAAAGTAATATAAATATAAATAACTTATATATATATATATATTCTTTAACTTTAGTAGTTCATTAACTTTAGTATACGTGATATAAATTTTGAACTATAATTTTGTTGAAATATCAACCTTGCACGCAATATCTCTCTCTGCTCAACACGCTTGAAAATTTCTGCTTCCCGATCTTTCTCCGTCATACCCTCTAGTCTACGTCTATCCTCGTCATCCAAAAACATATCATCATCGTATTCATCGACCAATGACTTCTACAAATTTGTCTGCAGTTATAACATTAGAAATAAATGAACACGATCCTCTAATCACTAGCTGGAATCTTAACCTGCGCTGAACTGAAGAAACTGATTAATCAAAAAGAGACAATTTAGAATAGTCAAAATAATAAAATCATTCAAAACAAATTCATTTATTTACCTTCCCACTATCATCACTAGTTCCTTCATCGCTATCAGTACCAGCTCGCGCTTTTTTCCCATGCTTGATGAAATTTTTATCACTTTTGCGTTTTCTACTACTGGTTGCAGCTTCCACATCTGAATCTGAGTCCTCTTCTGATGTGCCTGAGAAAAATAAATTGCTGAAAAACACTAGAATGCAGCATTCATAGTACAAAAAAGAAAGTGATAAAATGAAGTCACTAACTTTCAATGTAGTATAAAATCAATGGAGCATTCTCAAATATATCCATGACGAGTATATACTATAAAAACTTAATCTTTGACAACATTTAATTTTTCTTACAACAAGATTACCTACTTACCACTCTCAATAACTTTCCTGTTTTGTTGAGTAGCACGGCTAGAACGTCTAGTTTTTGTTTTTTTATCATCATCACTGTCTGAAGCTGACTTTCCTCTAGGATATAATTCCTGTAACATTTGGAAGACTAAATTCAAAATTTGGATGGCTTCACTCATTACAGATTTTAAATAACTCTGACAAAAATTTTTTTAACCATATAACGATTCATGGCAAATTTTGTGAAACAAATATAAAAGTGAACAAAGTTTGAAAGTCTGTAACCGACATGCAATACCATTCTGCAGCAACTCATTGCTTTGAAATGCAAGAATTAGATTACTTTATTACTTATATAAAATAAATAATACTGATAGTGAAATGGTTAATAAAAACAAGTTGTTTTACTAACATCAGCTTGTGCATCATCTGATGAATCTCGTATTACTCTTTTCTCTGATCCTGAATCAATACCATTGTCTGACATACCACCATAATCACTCATGCTTATTTCTGTAGAAATAAACATCTTTTTAGTATATAGAATGAATCTTAACAAATAAAACATGAAAATCTTTGTAGTAAAAGCAGTGAAAGACTACAATGTTGCATAATATTCTGTATCTGAATATTATGAATGGTATCATTTGATTAACTTTAAATTTTCTGAAATATCCAAGTGGAGCAATCGTACAGCAATATTTCTCGCCTTTATGTATTCATCACGTTGTGAAAAGTTTTGTCTCACTTCTTCCACTTTTTTTATGATTTTAATATTCAAAAGATGATTAATTACTTATAACATGAAAATATTTGCAGTATTTGTTACATTCATTGTTTATCCTTCTATTTCTACCTTTACAATACTGAGTGATAGATAACGTAAATAAATATATAAAAAGTGCGACGGTTGAATAAATGGCGGCATAATTATGTAAGGTATATATTCATATCGTAATTTTGAAGCAAAACGCTATCTAGTAAGTGAATTGATTAAATCTAAGCCACAGACATGATTCACGTGCATTACATGTAATTCACGTATGTCCATGCTCTTTGTAGGACAGCTGTGACTGATGATTAACTGATTTGCAATACTCACGTTTAAAAGACGTACACACCTATTCCTTAATAAAAATTTCACTTTTATTGCATGAAATTTTTTAGAACAAAAGTCAGTAAGTTTTTCTTCAAGATCAAGCAGAATTTCACTCATTAAAGCATTTATGATCAGGATTGTTTTCGAATCAGTTTTTGAAATCACACAGTTTATCTGGGAAAAAATGATCTATAAATCCCTTCAAAGGAATCTAAAATTTGAATAATTTCTGTATTGAATTTGACTGCATCTTTTTTTCAGAGGAGACCTGGTTACATCTTCTGCAAATTAAATTTAAGTTTATTCTTCGCATTTTGCAATGGTTCAATATTTTGCTCTGTATTATTTATTTTGTGTGTGAATTTATAAGATCATAAAAATAATTTATTGATTGATTGGTTGATTTGAAAAATCAAGTAATCAGTGAGAAATGTATTATTTTCTCAATACTTCACTGTACTATGTATTAAAACATAGGCTAATTTAGTAAATGATAAAGTAAGCATGATCAAAAAGTAGTAATTGTATTGCCATGAAATATATCAACATGAGATCAGCATGAATAATCGAAATTGAGTAATACAATCATAAAAGGCACGTAACAATCATCGCATGATTACGGCAAGCAATTAGTCGCTTCTCCAAGATTTTCGTTTCCTAAAAAATTTTAAATTTAAATGAAGTAATTAAAATATGGCACATGAAAAATTCAGGAATTTGCTATTGTAGATTGTAGCTTATATCTACAACAAAATAACTATCTGACTTTTATATTTATAAATCAATCTTTGAACTTTATAAGAGTAAAACTTACTTGAGTGAGAGCCTCAAGTAACGTAGCACCCTGCAGAGTTGACGTTGATGCGGTGAGAAAGTGTTCATCTGCAACTCCTAATAAGTGTTTTGCGTCACGTAAGTCATCCCGAAGACGATTTTGTTTACTAATCATTGTGCTGATTTGCTTTTCCACTGGTAGTGTAAACTATAAATATGCAAATTATAACAAATATTATGAAAATCTTTCAATTAAAGTGAATTTTTTTTTTTAATAAATATTACAGGATATTCGTTTTTCTACAATTCAAAACAAACACATTGATACTACAGTACTCAAAAGTATTCAAGTATTATTAACAGTATTATTTATATGATGTGAAAAGATTATTTGTACACAAAATAAAGAAAATGAGTAACTGAAAGAAGTAAAAAAATATTTTGCAAAATTCGATCTTACTTTTTCAGAAGAATTGGTCCATGATAGTTTGAATAGTCTTCTTTTTGGAAATGACCCTAAAAGTTAAACAATTATTTTAAATTGTAATTGCAATTTTTCTATACAACAGAAATTTTTTCAAATTTAATTGTATAACTAAAAATTTTATACTGTAATAACAATTTACCACGATTTTTAGCAATATCAACACCAGTAGCACTTTCATATCCACTACTAGCCGAGAAACTTTCACGATTTCGTGGCCGATTACAACGTGGAGATAAAAGAGTTAACGGCGGTTTACTGTAGATTGAACCATTTTCATCACTACCGTGTCCTGATGAATACGTTCCCGTGTCTTTTTTTGCATCAGTTATCTTGAATTAAATTTGAATCATTATTATTACATACTACCAAACTAAAAAAGTTTTCTTTCCTTTATATTATTTTATTTATTCAGTTGTTTATAATTACTGAATAAAGCGTCAAAATGATCAAATTTTATTAAAGCAAAATATTAAAAATGTTGCAGTTAATTACAGACTAGATGATTTTGTATAATAAAAGTGATTTAAAAAATTACCCTTGAATAAGGCGATGGTATAATGCTATGCATTGTTCTACGATCTGCATCTTCTGAGCTGCGCCGTTCGGTTAGCCGTTTTCTGTAATTCATTATTAATAATTGATATCCAAATCATTTCAAATTGCAAAATTATTGCAACCATTAATAATTTACAGTTGTAGTTGTAAACAATGATAACAAATCACTTATCTAAACCACTTACACTTAAATTGATTACCACAAAAATTTCGAGGTGAATATTAGTAATATTAATTAATTAAAGTTAATTAAAAAATAAGGTTTGACATTATTTAAGTTTCAGACAACTGTACTTCATTAAGTTCGAGATACTATGAAGTTATTTTAAATGATAGTAAAATAGCATTTGAAGCTGGTAAAATTTTACATTATGGAAAAATAATAGTTAGTAATATTTCACAGTAATTAGTATTGTATTGCTAATATATATGGAAAATTTATGCATTTTTCAACCGTTTCATCTTGAGTGAATAGTGGGATCACATACCCTTTTTTGATATCCTTCTTAGAATCAAGTAAATCGCGATGTGTATTCTTGGTATTATGCGTTTGTAGTCCTGTATGTTCAGGTAATGTTATTTGCTTGTCAGGAGAAACTGCCTTCTTTGTATTTCCTTCAGAAACTCGTCGTGGTAGTTTACTTTTTAAAGTTGTTTCTGACCGATTACTGTAGTATAGTAGCCATTAAGTTTTCAAATGATAAGTAGAACTAACACTTCATCATAATTTATAGTCGATAAGTCGTTTATTGGATTCACAACTTTTCTTGTAGGTAAGGAGTGAAATTCTTTGTTAATATACCTGCTTAGTGGATGTGTAATGGACCGTGGTACTGTAGCAGCTTTACATACAGTAATACTACTATCATTACTCTTCATAATCACTGATAGATGCTCGGATGAGGGTGAAATAGCATTGGTTGCGATCACAACCTTACTATTTTCTACAGTATCCTCTTTTTCAGCACTTCTTGACGTGTTTGCTTTCACATATCCACCACTACTTCCTGATGACATCTGTAGAAAAAAAACAACAACATGGTGATACTGTAAATATCCTTGTGCATTCTACCATCCTTAGAATAATCTATGAAAAATTTTGAAGATAATAAATAGAACTCAAAACAATTCGTCTCGAGCAAATTATTTAAAAAAACACATTACAATTGCAATTTCAAGAATTCTTCCTACTTTTCTAAAGTACCAAACAACTTTTGCACTTTCAAAAGTTCCGTGTTCAAAATATGTAAAATTATTATTATTATTATTGTTATTATTATTATTATTATTATTATTATAAAATGCACTGTTTTAAATTTAACTGTTCACTTTTAGATAAAATTTATTTTTTGACAATAAATAACAAGTATACTTTTCGTAAATAAAATAGTCACAATACCATAGTACTTCTGCAACAGTTCAAAGGCACAAATCGTTTTTTCTTCTTTTTTTCATAACTTTCGTTTAATTGACGTAATTTTTCATCAGCGTAAGCTTCTAATTGACTAGCTCTTCGATAAATTCCCAAAGATCCAAATTCTTCACTTTCTGATGTATTCTACAAAATTGCTAAAGTAAACGCATCTTTCATCACTTTTTACGTCATTTGTACTGTATTATTAATCAAATCAAAAGTTAATTTTATAAAATATGTATTATTTGTGTTTATCTCATTAAATTCTGAATAACAAGACTTGAGCATATTTACGTGCTGTATCTAAAAATATGCATTTTTTAATTAAATTTTGAATACAAAGAATAGCAATTGTTTTTTGAGTACTGTAACTGAAATGATTTGATTTGTTTTCCGTGTCAGTTAGAATTAGTTCCAACTCGAATCAGTTAACTAATTTTTTCTCATCAATGTGACATAAAAACTTATTATAAAATCAAATAAAACTTGATGTGTTTGCATTGTACAGTATCTGCAATAAATGTCATTTTTCATCAATCACATTGCTAGCTATCTGATCTGATTTGATCTCATCTGATCTCATTTAATTTGATCACATTTTTTTTTAATTTCATTTTATAGCTTTTGTCAAAATTAGAATTAGCAAATTTTTCTTTTAAATTATTTTATGGACTTTTTTACTCAATTTTAGTTCCGTAAAATTTTCAGAGTAAAAAAGAAAGATAAAAAAGTTTGAAATGATGTATAAAATAAGAAATCAACAAAAAGTTAACAATTCAATTTTAAATAGTAAAAAATAAAATTACAAAAATAAAATTATAAAAAATAAAAAAGTATAGAAATAAAAATATAAAAATAAAAAAAATACTGTAAAAATTTAGGTACTTATTTTTTTACATATTTTGAATTTTAGTTAAATAATTGCTTTAATAAATTTAGGATTACTAGTAAAAAAAAACTTTCTAAATAATTAAAGTTGCAAGAATTGAAAAATTTTTGCAACCACACAATATTCTTTAACTTTTGTAATTAATTTCTAAGCATAATTTTTAAAAAATACAAATTTTGTACCATTTCCATATTAGGTTGCTTGCATTGTCCAAAATCTTATTTTGTATTTTTTTAAAAATTTGATAATCCATTTATGATAAATAAATTTTCCCTTGAATATACATGCTACCGATTTATAAAATAATTGCTATAAATTTACAACCATAACAAATAAAAAAAGTATACAGATAATGTAATGTGTATTTTTACCTCTTCATTTAACAATAACTATAAATTTTTGTCTGGGAAAAAATGCTACCGCAAATCAAATAAATTTTGTTCATTTTTACCGTTTAGGACAATTTATCTACCATTTGGTAGCAATAAAATGCAATGAAAATTTATTGTCATCAAGAACAGATGTGCTTAATGTTGAAAAAGAAGAATAAATGCAAATTATGTATTAAAGAAAATTTGCAAAATTCAAAAAGATGCAAAAATTTTAAATTTAACTTTTTATTTAAATTTTTTCCCAAGCAATTCCAACTGCTACAGATTGCATTTTCATTTCAGGCCAAATTTAAAAAGTAATTTGCTTTCAACAATGAAAAACTTTCACATTTTTTAATAAATTCAGCTATAAACTGCTCATAAAATATAAAAATGTTTAGTTTAAATAATACTTATTAATCCACACTTTCTGATAAATTTTAAAAATCCCTCAAATAAAATATCTGATAAATACATATCTATCAGTAATGAGCGAAAGTTCCAAAGTGACCAACCAAAAATGCGCCAAATTATGCCTAATTATGCTATAGTAATTACACTGTCATATATGTATACATCTGTTGACAAAATTACACCTAATGATCTAAATTTGCAAATATCTTTAGCTTACAAATTGGTTGTATTTTATTTTATATTAAAATAAACCGAACAGAATTATGCCAACCAAATATTTTTAGCTAACAAATTGGTTGTGCTTTATTTTATTTTATATTAAAATAAACCAAACAGAATTATGTCAACCAAATATTTTTAGCTAACAAATTGGTTGTATTTTATTTTATTTTATATTAAAATAAACCGAGCAGAACAGAATTATGTCAACCTAACAGAGCTTATTTGCTTTATTTTGGTTGTTAAATTAGTTTGTTTAAGTTATTTAGCAAATAAGAATTAGACTTGTACCTTTCAATTTTCAATATTTACCTACTCACTGCTAACTACTTAGTCATTTATCTACCATTTGTTTTGCTGATTTTCTGTTCACTAAAAAACTCGAGCAGTTGGTAAATTTTTCCGGTTTTTTTATTTTTTTACCAAAAAAAAAAAAAAAAAAAAAAACCTCAGAATGAATTTCAACTAAGTC